AGATGGGATACTCACCTGTGGCACTTCTGCCTTATATCTCCTGTGTCCTGTAACCCTCTAACCTAACAGATGACAAGAGCCCTACTAGGATTTCAGTTTCAGCCTTCAAGTACAAAATACAAGGATCACTCAAAAGCAAAAATGAGAAGATCGCTGAGTAGAATAGTCAATAAAGGAAAATTTCCTTCAATCTGCCCTTCAGTCTGCTAGCCTAATAAATTCATCTGGTTATTCAGGATGGATGTAAAATCTCACTTTCTTCCTGTTATACTTCATACACAACAATTCTAAATCAACTCTTTACACTTGTATGTAAAGTACAGAATACAGACATGGGATTAGCCACATTCCTACCTTCCTTTGTATCCTCTGTGAGCTACACAGCATACTATTTATGACTTTTAAGCACACAAACTTATTTGTCTATCCATTCCTTCTTGAGAGGTAAGCTGTTTCTTTCCTTAGCATTTACTTCAGTTAGTCAGATTAAAATGAACAAAGTGAAAAAAATTTACAAGGTCCCTTAGGTAAATTACTTGCAAGAGATATCACTTAATAAGCAGTGTGAACACGTTCATTTTTACTTAACTGCCTCCCACAGTCTTAATTATCTCTCTCCTATCTGAACAGTTTTTCCAATTTCTTCAAACATTCATTCTTTTTAATCTCCTCCTTTTTCTCTGTCCCTCCAATTTCTTTGAAGTTTTGAATCCAAAGGGATCCCAGAATCTGACCTGAAATATGTAGGTGACAATCTCTTCTGAGTGCCATGTAAAAATTGTTTTCCACAGTGAAAGTTTTCCCTGTGCACAACTGCCCCCAGCCACCACTGCTACCTTTTGCTCTGGCAGTCTGGACATCCTTGATCTGTAATTCTTTCCAGTGTCACAAACCTCAGGTCTGTATATCACATGTCACTTCTGTAGTTATTTCTGGCAAGGCTGCAAGAGGAATCAAAGGTTTCGGACTTCCCACAAGAAAAGTAGACAAATGATTCTGATTGGGATTAAATGAATGGTCAATGTCATTGGGATTTGAGAGAATTATTCATATAGAAGTCATGTTTTTTTATTTTTATTTTTTTGCTTATTTTAAAGGATTTCATAACACAGAAATGCCAGAGGTTGTGAACTCACACACTCACCAGAAGCTAAAACAATCCCAGAATAGTGTTTTACTTTCGTGTATATGCATAGAAATCACCAATTCTCAATTCTTGGAACAAATGCATAGTTACCCAGTTTGGAGAATAAGTCCTTTTTTCTGGAAATAAAAAAAAAGGAAGAGAAAAGGCGAAGAGGAACTGATGTTACTTTTAGATTATGTCTAAACAATTACTTGATGTTTTTCAGTAGCAAGGACATTTGCTTTCTGGCTTTATTCTGCAGTGATTAATGTCCAGAAAATTTTATCTAGAAGGGCTTTCCAAGATGGTTAAGAGGAATGAAGGTAAAATGAAGTGGAAACTATAACTTATCCCTGTTGCTTATTGCTTATGAGCACATCATGCTTGTCCTGAAGGGGAAGCACATATTCTTGTCACAGCCACTGTCCATTACTGGGACATGAATGAACCCAGGTTTCTCAACTGTTGTTCCAAGTATGTCTGCACTGTAAAAGGCAGTGAGCTGAAAAAATCAAGTGAACTAATGGGGAGTCAGGTGGAATACTTACATACCAGAGAACAACACTGTGCTCCTACACTAGCTCAGGCCCAGCAGCAATGTAGGCTCAGTTACACGTGACATGTGATAATTCCCTCCTTCTAGCAAGGATGATTAATGGAGCAGAGCGGCATATCGTTGTGCTAAGGTTGCCACTGAGACACAGCTTGAGAGTCTGCTCCATGTACTTTCAAACTTCAGGTGCATGGACATATGGTGGAGAAACTTAACTAGTTTCTGAGTTACTGTATATGGCACTCTACTGCATTCAGTCCAAGTACTGCTGGTCTCCCCATCTGTGTGCAAATCTCTGGGACAAAAGGAGAGCACCAACTAGCACCAGGACCCAGACTTATCTTAAAGAGGAAAAAATGAGCACAGTGACTTCGACTCTATCATCTGGGCAGACACAAATAGACAATAAATACCAATTTCCAAGAGTGTCTTGTTTTTTCCTCAATAAGATGATGCTTGTGAATCTTCTGTCATACCTTCTCATAATAACTCTATGCAAAGAGAATGAAATGTAGAAGCTTCTTTGCACATAGTTCATTCAATAAAAATCTATTTTTGCTTTGTAAGCAACAGAACCCTTTCAGATTATCATTATTCATCATAAAATATAAAAAAAAGTCTTCATAATGACTTGCCACAATGGCAAAAGTATCAGGGAGGCCTCGTGAGTCCCAAATGTGTTCCATATTTTACATTTCTAAATGCCTCTGGGGAAGTATTTGGTATGACTAATCAAGTTGGCTTTAATGTAATACTCCTTAGAAGAGTAAGCAGTAATTTCTCGACAAACTCTGAGAACAGTACAGTGGCATGTTTCCAGTGCTTTAAGTTTTATTCCCATTTAAGATCATGCTACCTAATAAATAAAAGAACAGCCTTGACATCCACCCCTTGATAAAACCAGACAATGTTCGCTGACAGAAGACACAAGCATATTCTGCCCACACTCGGGTATGCTTTGACTGGTATCCAGGGAAGGACACATGGAAATCACATAGATTACTATGGCATGGACTCTCAGATTTCAAACAATGGTAAAGAACTGCGAAAAGTCAACTATGGGGTACTTGTGTTTGTTTTAGCAAGTCTGTAGGAGTCTGATCATATTTTTAAAACCTTTTGAAAGGCAGTAAGGGAAAATATAAAGCGAACATTTACTTCAGTATAAAATAAAGACAAAATAGAGAGATAACTGAGGCAAAACAACAAGAGACAGTGAAGAAGTTTAAATAATCATTGGATGGCAGGCTAGCAAGGCAGCAGATAAATTTCTGGAAGCACAGTATAATGGCAATGCCATATAAATAGAAACAGAATCATCAATAAATCTTAAGAAGAATGAGTTACGGTATGCTTTTGGGAGGGGTTACTTCATACTGCATTGATACTATTTCTTTAGAATTGCTTAATCATTTTATCTGGTATTTTTTTCCAAATTGATTTTTCTAGCATTTGAACCTCTAAATTTCAGCTAAAAAGCTGGTGGTAACTTGTTGAAATATGAGAAAAAATCCCCTGAAAAACGTGGATAATTTGCACTTCTTTTCTACATTGAATCCCATCAGTTTCAAAGGCTGTACATACAAGAAAAGCTATTTTACATTTCTTCATTGCTGTTTTTTTTTTCTTTTATAAATCATAGAATCATAGAAACATTAAATTGTTTGAGTTGAAAAGACCTTAAAATCATCTGTCTCCAACTCCTCTTCTATGGGCAGGAATATTTTCTACTGGAATTCCTATAATACACAAAAGAATTTAAGAAGAGAGAGAAAAAAGAATATTATCCATATGCTACATAAATACAAAATCAATCACTCACGCTTCTGTTTCTTATTTGTCTACCAAAACACAGAAACCTTTCAGTATCAGACTAGTTTTGAAGCAAAAGTAATGAGAGAAAGGGGGAAAAAAATAAAAGAAAAAAAAAAAGAAAAAAGAAAAAAAAAGAAAAAAAGCAGTTCATGCCAATGCATGGTTACACTGCATCACTACTTTTATAATTAGAGAGTGGTAAATGGTTTTTAGCCTCCTTGTGAGAACACATAACATTCATGAATCCATTGGTTCTGCTCTGCAACTCTGAAATGCATCAACAAAGCTAATGATTCACTAGATTAATGTAATTGCAACATTGAACAATATGTCTCTATAGATGCTATCCTGCCTTTAACATATACACCAGTCCCAGGCAGTTTCCAAACACAAATAGTAACACATTATTATAGAACATTTTTTTTTTCTATCTTAGCTATTCAGAAGAGAAAGTGAACACAATTTTTAAAAAGTACTATTCTTAGTGGTCATGAGAAGTAACAGAAATACCAAGCAGTTGTATAAATGAAAGAAAACTTTTGGGTTGTTGAATTGAATGTTCTTGTTAGCTGCAGGATACATACATAGCATCTGTGATAAGAGAATTGGCGTGTATCCCCTGCGTAGCAGAGCATTTGGGGGGATTTGTCTGCCCACACAGAACTTCAGGACTGGGGCCTGTGAGAGAGGAGTGAGCAGACTGGTTGTTGAAGGACTGCCATAGCAGGAGACAACAGGGCTGGTGGCAGAGCCTTAAAATTGAAAATACAGTAGGCACTGTATACATACACACATATATCATTCAGTACATAATTACTTATTATATTGCAAATGCTTTCATTTCAGCAGGAATATCCCACTTGCAGCATGCTCCAGACACTGATCACATGGCCAATTTCAGTAGATTGAACCTTACAGAAGTAGGACAACATGAGTGCAGGGGTAGAAAAGGTCCTGGAGGAGAGAGAATAATCTGACCTCCAATTAAACAGGTCAGTAACATGACCTTCAATCCATTCACCCTTAGGGTAGGGGTGGAGAAAAGAATAATTTGGAATGAACAAACTCAGACCCTTTCTGCTCATAGAAGTGCAGGGTCAGGTCTGCAGAGATCTCTTGATGCCCTTTACTGAGCTAGTTCAACATCTAAAGAACAAACTCGTAGCCACCACTTTTCTCCTGATCTGACTGGAAGGTTTTAAAGATCCCTTCAAAAGAGGGAACGACACGTACCAAGAAAATAACCAAAGGAGACAGGCAGAAACAAACAAGAGCTGTCAGTGACAAAGAGAAAAAAAGAGGGAAGCTAAAACTTCGAGAGCAGAGACCAGGTACAGACCCAGAGGCAGACAGAAAGAACTAGAGTGGGAAGAAGAGATGGGATTCAACAAACAAGAAGGAATCTGCTCCTTCTCCTAATCAGTGGACTGGAGAGGATGAACAGAAGCTAGGAAGGAGAAAAGATACTGAATAGCTTGAGACAGCAAAAGGCCACAGATCTGCCCCATGGGGATGCATAACTCAGTCATTATCTGCTTTGTTTTAGGATTTTTCTTATGGGTAAGTCATATCAAGTTCTTTTTAACAAGGTCTGTGCTGTGAAGTTATGTGGGAAAGCTGGAGGAGTGTTAGCAACTGATGATAACAGGAATTTCTGCAATACTAGAAAGAGTTGGGCATAGGCATGGAGACAGAATACTTGCTGTAATTCCAGGGATGGTAACACAGAAATCAAGGTACCAAGGCAGAACAAGAAGCGTAGGAGTGTAATATGTAACAGGAGTTTTTAGGGCTTCAAATATTTGAGCACTGAGAACAATTTATATGTGTAGCGTAACAGTTTTTGGTGGGGAAAAGGAAAGTTGTGATCAGCCTGAAGGAAGTTAGGGTCTTCACTGGGAACAATGTTGAGTAGGATTTTATTGACTATGTGAAGATGTGAAAATGGTGTGGTTGGTATCACAGTAACTTCAAATCTAGAGCAGAATATACAAGAAAATTATTAAAGATAATAGTAAATCATTTTTATAGGAAATTCAGACTGCTAACAGTCTATGTAACAAAGATACAGGTTGCATATCTTGTTTTCTCCTTCTAGTTTCCCAAAGTAAGAAGTGAGGAAGGGTGTCTCAATGCTGAATTGTGAGTATTCGTAGGTATTGCACTCTTTTAAGAAAACAATGAAGGACAAAAGACATAACTGTTATGACATGGTGGCAGACATTTTCCAGAAACACTGTAGCTGTTGAAAACTTAGATAAAATGTCCCTTGCTTTCAAGGTGAGATGCATTGATTGCTACCTCTTCAACACACTGATCCTGCAGTACCATTTCTGCTTCCTATTTGGATAACTGTTATGATAAAGAACATTCTGGCGTAATTTTGATTGGCTGAGGTTATGAATTTGGAAGTGACCATTCCTTGAAGATTTGTTTTTTTAAATATACTGCCTTGATGATGTCATTTGTAAGAATAAAAGAAATTAAGACAAATTAAGGAGATGCAGGAATGGCTCAAATCTGCATCAGGGAGGGTTCAGACTGGAGATTAAGAAAAAATTTGACTTTATTCTACCTACTCTTAAAAAAAAAAAGGGGGGGGGAGAGGGAAGGAAAAATGAGGATTCTGTTTTGATTAAAGAAATACATTTCAAAAATGAATGGGAAAGGTCTGCTGACAGAAACAGAAGGAACATACAGCACAGCATCTAAAATATGCCCACAGTATAGGGCCAGAAAGAAATAAAAAAGAAATTCAGGAGAAAAAAAAAAAAAAAAAGTAAAACAATAGTATTTGACAGACTAAATGGTGAAAAAACATATTATGGTAAGGAAGTTTAGAGAGTACATGATATAGATTGCTAAGGCATGAAAACAGACTTGGTTAAGCTCAAATATCAGGTTAACAAGAGATAAAGCCAAAGAGAAGAACTCACTTCTAACAGGAAGATTGATGAGGTTGGACAACTGTCTCCTATAAGAAATGAGAACTGTGGGTTTCTCAACATTTGTGCCACTTACAAGCTGGAGTGTGAGGGGAGCTGGCAGAGAACGCAGTGGGAGATCTTCCTATTTTGTTGTTCTATGTCTAACTATTTCTTTCTCCTCAGCTGTTCAGGTACTGAGTGGATCCGTCTCTGGTATATTTGGTAAGATAGCTTGTGATTACTTAAAATATGTGCATCACTGGGCAATTCTAGCAGCAAATAGTGGGATTAAATGGGATCTTGTAACTCACTCAAGTGTGAGGCTACTCTCCACTTTACCTCTCTGCCCTGTAAATGCTCTACAGTAGCAAGGCACCATCTTAGTCATTATGTTGTCTTCGGCAAACACTGAATTGCCATCACAGGCATTTTTTCAGTGTCATGTATAGTTGTAAGTATAATATTAATAAAGCCTTTGTGTCATTATATGCCTTTTAAAAGGCCCATTTTTAAAAATAATTTCATTCTGATTCCTTAGAAATTCAGTATGAGATTAAAAAGAATTGCAGTTGTTGGGCATCTACAAGGTTGCATTAGTAAGAGTGAAGCTAGCACATTGAGAGTTATGATTTTTCCCCTCCACTTGTAACTCATAAAGACACTCCTGGAATAGCTAGCTCACTTTTGTTTCCCCAGTTAGAAAGAGATGTTGACAAGCAGGGGCAACAACAGCTAGATACAACAAACTGGCTAGGGGACATGATGTATGAGGAGGAACTAGGTTTATCCATCCTGGAGGAGGCTAAGAGGTGGGGAGAAAGGAACTCAACTGATGTTTTCCACTAACTAAGGTAGGTCTAGATTGAAGATAGAGCCAGATTTTCCTCAGAGGTGCACAGCAAAAGGATCTGAGGTCATGGACCAAACTGCATGCAGGGAAACTGGTTAGACAAAGACAAAATGCTTACCTCAAGTTAATGTCACAGAGGAACTGGTGCTTGAAAGAGACGTGGCATCCCCTTCTCTGGAGACTGTCAAACTCTATTGAAAAAGGCTCTAAACAATTATGTCTAGCTTTGACATTAGCAAGGAGAGATTTTAATATGCCCCCTCAAAAAAAAAAAAATCTTTCTGTCCATATCCAGTTTTCTCTCTTCTTCTAGGCTGGTGGTTGTGATTGGTGGACTGCTGCTGCTGTGCGGCTTGGTTTCTGTCTGCATGAGATGCTGTTTCACTCACTGCCGTCCGGCTGGGGAGGAATCAGGTCCTCAACCCTATGAGGTCACTGTCATTGCTTTTGATCACGACAGCACTCTCCAGAGCACCATTACATGTGAGTGGGCTTTGCCAGATACTGGGCACCTCACAACATCCCACTGTGGGGGTTGCACCATAAAATGCCCAGACAGGCATATGAAGTCTTCCAATGGGCTGGCAGAAGGACGTCCTAGGCAGGGTGCTGGGAATGTGGCATCTGTAAATACTATAAATTCAGGTATTCACCAGGCCTTATGTAGCAAATATGGTCAGATGGTGAACTGTTCGTAACACATGTTTGGGTGGACTAAGGGCAGCTGCAAGATCCTGGATGGCATTAGAGAAAAGAGTAATTATGGGATGTTGCTGATGGGGCTTCATTCCTCCCTTTATGGGAGGACCAAGGAGCAGGAAAACATTCTGGCCATGGGGAGAGAAAAGCCTGTGCACTGCAAATATACCTGTCCCACTTTAATTGTACAGTGCTTTCAGGATGAGGGAAATAGCTTCTGTCTCCTCCCTTTCAGCTCTCCATTCGGTATTTGGGCCAGCCGCCAGGAGGATCCTAGCAGTGGCACACTCCCACAACACTGTGCAGGGCACACCACCCCTGACAGCATCAGACACTCCTCCAGTCTACGATGAAGCTCTACACACGAGCAGGTTCACTGTTGCCAGGGCAGGGCAGAAAATGCTAGACCTGGATCCAGCGACTAAAGAAAAACTGCAGACATCTGCCGAGGACAAGGACGTCCAGCCAGTCTTTGCAGGACACTAGTGCTTATGTTCACTGAATGGCAGTAAAATTCAGAATAGAGAAAAAAAAAAAAAAATTCAGAGAGTAGTTCCTGTGGTCAGGGTTAGGAATATCAGATTAATCCCCTTAGTCTAATGAGAAAGGGAAAAAAAGAGACTAAAATTCCAGATAGTTCTAGATCCAGAGTATTTGGATAGTTCCTTTTTACACCTTGAGATAACTGACCACTGGCAATCCCTGGATCCATTTATTATACACACACATCACTAGATTCACAGATTGCATATCCAAGCATGCAGCAAGATCAAAGTGCTGAGCCTTGCAGGCTGGTGCTGGATACCTACAGGGAGATGCTATCTCATTCTGGTTGCCACTAGCCTAAATTTCCTGGGGATGGCAGAGGTTTTCAGAGCAGGAAAAGCAATATGAAAAGGTCTTACACCAATATTAAAACCAAACTCCAGGAAAGCGCCAGCCATCCATTCACAGTAGAAGAAAAACAAAAAGAGGCTACCTGTACACAATCTGCATGTAAGTGAAAGATAGCATAGCATACACTGGTAGTACTTACAGTTCCCTAAATGCTCTACAGGATATATAGAGGGAGTACACTCTTGTTTTGAATATGATATATAGCAATTCTGAAATAGCAGTTATAAGCTCTGGTATTTGAATTGAAACTATGATGTGTGCAATAACAAATCAAACAATAGGAGAAGAAAGTGTTCTGTTGTTAAAATAAAGTTTAATTATGTTTTAGTTGCCTTCATGTTGTATCACATTAATTATTCCTACCACTGCTGTCACAATCAGATCAGTCTAAAGAAGATGATTTAAAACATTTAAGCCACTTTTCAGATATAAATAATTTGTGAGTCTTTCCTGATCCATAGAGATATGATTAATCACAAATAGATATTCATCAAACTGCTTGGATGAGCACTGCTATGGACTAACTGCAAAAAGTTTACTTCAATTCAAATTTTAATACTTCAATTCAAAGTTTAATTCAATTAGATACTCAAAGTGACAGTTGAATTACACTGGTGTTGTCTGTACCCCAGGTTTTGCAACTGAAAACATTAAAGAAGAATAACATCAGATACCAAACAATAAGCAGTCATTATTTATTTTATTTTTATTACCTTAGTTAATAATTACTTTACATGTTAATGTTGATATGTATGCACAGATCACAGACTGAACATCTATCTGAATTGACTGCACAGCCCTTCCTGCTATACTACCCAAAACCTCACAGACTTTAACATGTTGATGTTTGCAACACTCCTTGTGAAATACAGCCATTTTTCAGATAAGGAGAGAAAGGATTGAGATTATAATCATCAAGGGATCTAGAAAGGAATGTTGGTAAGATATCTCCAGGGATAGCATAAAGCAGAACTGAACAACTAGAAGATCTCTGATTGTGTCCCAGACTTTGGCTGGTCACAGAAATTTTGTATCCAAGGAAAGAATTTAATGCAGGTCTCAGTTCCCTAGCTCACCATTATTTTTTTTTTTCCTGAATTGCCTAGTCATTTGTTAATTGCATCAGTAATAGATGAAATTGAATAAAATAAATAAGTGACATATAAGGTTATGTCTCTTCTGTTACGTAGCACTTGAAATAATAATAACTGTTGGTGCAACATCCAGTTGTGTGACCTATTTCATCAGCTGATCTCTGAAGTCGAGTTCAAGCCTGATGTCTCTATCACGCTGCAGAACATTTCCTGGAAGTCTCTTGTTTACTTCAGAGTAAAGTCCGAAGCAAGCAGAGACATTTGCTGAAAATGTGTCTGGCCCTATTAAGACCAGAAACTTCTTGGAAGCCTTCACAAACATTTCCATTTGGAACATACCATTCCTGCGCTGTCTCCACCCCCTTTTTTCCTGCTGAAGAACACAGCCGGCCAAGTCCTGAGCTGCGCGTGCTTTTAACATGAGATGGCAGTCGTTCTCCACAGGGGAGCAATCTCACTGCTAGAATTCTTCCCAAACCTAGTAATACGAGAAAGGATATTTTAAAAGAATTTTTATGATAATTTTGTAATTTTGATCAGATGTGCAATAAAAAAGGGAAGTTTTAAAATGTTTTACTCTTTCCCCCTCCTCTGCATCACATCACCTTTGCTATCTCTGTTCTCCATTTCAAGGAAAAAATAATGTGTCACTTGAACTGAGAGCTGGGTATTACCTGCTGATCTGCGTGTATTTCCCTCGAGCAGAGCCACTATTGTCTAACTCTTATATACTTTTCTGTTTGCTCATATCTTCGTCCATTTGACTCATGCTTCATTGTGACTGAGTGTAACAGGTCTTCTGCTGGCAAGAGATCAAATAATGTGACAATAATGATAGATACAACTTCATTTGTTAAGGATTTCCTAAAGTGATTTCAGATGAGTGAATTCAGAGAAAATACTCTTGCAACTGATCCGACACTCAAAGTCAACAGGATATAATAAAATAACAGAAAAGAAAAAGAGAAAGAAAAAAGAGAAAGAGAAAGAGAAAGAGAAAGAAAAAGAAAAAGAAAAAGAAAAAGAAAAAGAAAAAGAAAAAGAAAAAGAAAAAGAAAAAGAAAAAGAAAAAGAAAAAGAAAAAGAAAAAGAAAAAGAAAAAGAGAAAAAGAAGAAAAAGAGAAAAAAAAAGTAAAAGCAGACCAACAGCCACCATATCTCATGGGCATCAAACCTTTTGGCTTGCCTGGGCCACATTCAGTGAATAGAAATTGTCTTGCGCTGAGTAAGTTGCTCCAAAAGTAATGCCTCCTATTTATTTCCATGGATATTATGGTTGACACAAACAGCTCCATAACACTGTTTGACAGAGCAAATCTCAGCTACAAAACACTAACTTTCCACCACACTAACATAACCACCACCATTAACTATTCATTTTCATCCACAAGGAACAAGAGCCTGCATGCTGCTCTCATAAAAATCTGAACAAGTGAAGGTGACCCACTGTCACCACAGCTGAAACACACCACCTCACCACTGTTTAGTCTCCTTGAACATCCAGCAAGTGGGTGCAATTTCTTCCTCATGGAGGAATTCAAAGACACGCCTTTGCTTCATATTCTCTTCTATGTCAGACACTATTTTCTCAGATGATCCCTCTGCTGCTACCTGCTACACAGCAAAAAAAAAAAGCGCAATGGAATATTGGTGGGAAGGTTCTGCCTCCACTGCCATACCACCAACATCCACCTCTGATGTTAAGGGTCAACATAATATAACAGCAGGCATTACTTTTGGAGCAGCCCTAATAAAATATACACTATTCTTAATATATAAGTTAAAAACATTTTGACTGTAAATACTTTTTCTTTAAATTTAAAAAGAAAAAGAACAAAACCTTAAAACCAGTGGGACATTTGAGTCAACTCTTTGAAAGGTTAGATAACAGCAGGATAAGGGGAAATGGTTTTCAGTTGAAGTTGAGGGAAGATTCAGGTTGGATATCATTGGGAAGTTCTTTATCAAGAGAGTGGTGAGGTGCTGGAACAGGCAGCCCAGAGATGTGGATGCCCAGTCCCTGGAGGTGTTCAAGGCCCAGTTGGATGGGGCCCTGGGCAGCCTGGTCTAGTATTAAATGGGGAGGTTGCCTGTTGTGGCAGAGTTGGAGATTTATGATTTTTGAGGGCCCTTCCAAATCAGACCATTCTGTGATTCTGTGCTTTTGTTTTTCTGAAACTGACACACCAGTCTGGTTCCGTGGCAGTGGCTGCGATTCTTAGTGAGGATTCAAGGTATTCACCAGAGATTTTTGACTGAATTTTATTCTTCCTGTACTTCATCCTTGACAATAATTGTTCAAAATGTGTTTACTGCCAAAAATCACTGACATGAATAAAATGGGACTGTGAAGCAAAGCAAATATTTTTATCTGCTAAAATAAGGATACTGAAAGTCAATTAAATAGAGCACAATAAAAGAGCACAATGACACTATTTGATTGAGCAAATTCTCAGCTACAAAACACTATTTTTCAACACAGTCACCACCACTAGCTATCAATTTTCACCAGCAATCAACAAGAGCCTGCATACCACTCTCGTAACAATCTGTGCCAGCAAAGGTGACCCACTGCCTCCATCTCCTCTGCTGAAACCACCACCTCATTGCGCTCACATCCACAGTTTGGTCTCCATGTTCAGTAAGCACAGATGAATGTCAATGGGTGCAATTTTTTCTGCATGGAGCACTTCAATGACATACCTTTGCTTCATAGCACTTCCATGTCTGACGTCATTTTGTCAGACTGTCCCTCTGCTGCCATCTGTCACATGGTGACAAAATGTAATGAAATACTGGCAGGAAGATTCAACCTCAACTGCCATACCATCAACACCCAACTCTGATGTTCTGGACCAAAATAATAAAATAGGAAGTATTACTAATATTTTTAATGTATACAAGTAACGAAACTTATTTTAATTCCCAATATTTCCATTAAAACATTAAAAAAAAGAGCAACAAAAAATAAAAGTAGAGAGATATTTGAACTTGTCTTTGTGAAACTAATTTAACAGTCTGGTTTGATGGTTGCATTTCTTCGTGAGTTCTCAAGCTGTTCATCAAAGGTCTTTCATCTAATTTTGCTCTTCCAGTAATTCACCCTTGAAGATAGTTGCTCACAAATCTATGCGCTGCCAAAAACTAAAGACATGAGTAAGATGTGGAAGTGAAAATATTTTTGTCTGGTAGGACAGGACAGAGGTCTGCTGCAGGATAGGCTGGGACGGGATGCGTGCAATCTGTGGGTCATGGGTTGGATGTGCCTGCACTGAGAATTTTTTAAAAGGCCAGTCTGTGGTGATACAGACAGAATAATCACCTCAGGGGAGATATCAGTAGAAGAGTGATTTACAGCTGATACAACTACAGAGCAGTTTCAGGGACTGTCCTGGGAGATATCTACCTAGATGGCATCTCCAAGAAAAATAAGGCAAATAAGAAAATAACAGGGATGTTTTTATTCTGAAGTCAGGGAATTTTATCCAGTCATGTAGATATTTCCAAGCTAGTAGTAGAACACCGCAAAGCTCCAAGCACTGCTCCTGGAGTGTGTGTGGTACAGGATGGACTACAGCTCCCTCCCTTTCCCCTGGATTCTGTGTAAATATTTTCATTTCCTGCTTCTATGGCTACAGCATTGGTAAGGCTTGAGGAATCCCTTATGTGTGTGAAGCGCCAAGCACACAATATACAAACACACCACTCTACTACATAAACACTATACTTCTAGCACTCCAGGTTAAGAAAGTTCATTGTTTAGCCACCCTGTGAACTACGTTGTGCCTGGAGTCCAGTGAAAGAATAACCAATCCATTTTTCAGATCCTCTCTCTAGCACGCGGCCCCTTAATGCGGGGTTTGTCACATGCCCATGGGCTGACATGTTAATAAGAACTATAAGTCAGATGCTTGTTTGTCACTGCTCCTGCACGCATCATCTTCCTGCCAGCCGCTGCGCCAGCACCGAGGTTGTTTTTACTGAGCCACAGGAGGTGGAGACGGGAGGAACGGGAAGCAGGAGGAGCGACCTTGTCGGGGCGAGTCCGGGCTGCGTCATCGGGCAGGAGTTCAGCGACGGGATTTGTGATCATCACGTGGGATTTGCTGTGGGGAGGAGAGGTTACCTGGTGATATTCTGAGTCGTGTCTTGGCACCAGAGGAGGGGAAAATGCAAGACTCTCTCTGGTTTGTTACAGAATTTCAAGCTAGATGTTAGCTAATATGCAGTTACCTCCTCTCTTTTGTTCTTGAGGAAGACATATCTATGTCTAGATGGACATGGAGATTTAGCAACTGCTATGGGGCAGGCAACTAGGAAGCAAAAAGGAGGCCAAACGTTACAGAAAAGCACTATGGCATGAAGACAGCTTTTTCTCCTGGCATAAACAAAATCAATGCCTCGGTTCTGAGTCATCCTTCTGAGATCCTCTGACTCTACCAGCAACTATGGGGAAATGCTCCAATGTCTAATGACAGAATGAGAGAAACAAGTCAGTGATGCTTCCTGTACTAACCTCGTGTATGTGAACTACTGAAGACTGATCCATGCCATTCCACTGTGGCTTGCTCTACCCTTAGGAGAATCTGGCACATACTTGTTGGAGGTCACAGCACCATGTGGACGCGTAACTACTTAAGCACAAAAGCATCTGCCACAGTTCTCTGGGAGGAGGTGGAGCTGTTGGGGGGTGGGAGGGAAGGAGGAGGGGCAGAACAGGACAGACACAGTATAACCCTCCAAAAAATAGACATCAGCATTCAGGTAGGAAAAATCACATCTAATGTGTCTGTTTATTACCTTACACTATGAAGGCATTTTAAGGTGACAGACTATGGTACAAATGCCTAATCTGTAAGTGTAAGTGAGATTTCTATCTCATGCCCATCTGCATTCACTGGGTAAGATCATCTCTGAACTGCCACTGTCAGTGCATATCTGCTTCTAAGTAAATGTACTTTCTCCGTATCTCTCCTTCACGCAAGATGAGAGATCACAGTCACCAGGCACTACCAATATACCTCTGAATTCAAGAAGCAATGGGCATAGAGTGCAAAGGTGGGTGGTGGGTAGTATATGATAAACAACTCTCTCCAGGGCAAAGAGCACAAACTAGCACCCTGAATCTGCTGTGGGGATATGCAATAGGTCCTTCCCATTGTTGGGATAACTCCTTCCCTTCAGGCAACTCAGGTATGTGTATCAGTGTATAGGGATAAAGAAACCTGAACACCTGAAGTATGAGTTTCTTGGGGCAGCCTTAAAGATGTATATGAATACTTCTAGAAATAGATGAGGGCTTTTTCCTGATCCTTTTCCCCTGATCCTATTTTTATTACTTATTATTTCGTTATGATGCCCTTACAGAACATTGTAATGGAACTTCCATCTTTGGTCTTCCATTTCTTATGGTTTTGAGCTGACTCTTTGCTCTAGTCTGGATTTTTTTTTCCATTCAAACCATACTGTAGAATCATGGTGCCTGCAAAATAGCAACTATGTATTTCCCCACTCCTATTCACTGTGCCAGCAGGCTAGCACAGGGTTGAATCGAGTACAGTGAACCTGCATTCTCTTACTTCTGCCTCTGGTGTGGCCTTTGCCTTTGAGTGTTGCCTTATACTAAGGCAGTCTACTATTCCACACAACACTCGCTGCTATCAAAACTGCTGCACAAATAAAACATCATTCTTGGAAAAGTTCCACTTCTATGGATGAAGCATGCAATGGAATAATTATTTGATGCACTCCTGTTCAATGTCTCCAGGGCAACAGCAGCTTTTCTTTTTAGTACTGATTTGACCATGTGGACCCATACTTCAGCACCTTCTCTTTTGCTGGTCAGTACTGTGAGCTTAGCCACACTCAGAAAAAAAAAAAACAAAGGATGATACTGCTGTGTGTATCCTCTAAAATTGGCTGGCTATTTAGACTTCTTTGCAGTCATCTCCCTTCACCACATGCTGCTTGTAATGTACCTCTGGCCTGGGATGTTATGTGACATACTTGTGATTTGAAGAAATCAATGCGTAGGAACTTAACAGCAAAGTTTTGTTACTGTTAAGCCAGGTGTTCTTTCTTAGCAGCACTGGGAAGTACTGGGGACATTTCTACCATAAGCACTTCCAAGATTATATGATTCAAAGTCCATTATATTTCTACAGATAGTATATACTCATCAATTATGTGTGAGACAATTAACACGCCTATTTCACACAGTGATTTATGAGGTTTCCAGTCTCCTATTTCATGGTCTCTTCTACCGTCTAGTGCCCTTTTAGCATCCTGATAGTCAAACAGACAGCCTTTTACTTTAGCCAGTGGTCTTCCTCTCTTGTCCTCTAGATGAACTTTCCTCACTGATGTACGCTCAGTAGGAGAATGCCTACTGTAAGTAATTTATAGGTAACAAAATTGTAATGTTTGCTCAGTCAGCACCCGGCCATTATTTCTGGACATTTGTTTGTCCTTGGATAGAGATAAGTTTGGCAACCTGTCTTTTAGTGATATATACCGGGATGTTAACCTGTTTTTTAATAATATATACTGGGTTGTAGAAGATAAGGAGGATAGAGGGGAGAATCTTGATGCCTGCCTGTTGCATCCCAACCTAATCCCAGAGTGAGATAATTTGACCTTGTGTGGAGGTCATAGCTTTCATTGTTGTGTTTCTTTTGCTGAGGGCCTTTTGTCTAAACAGAACAGCCTTACAACATGTTTTCTAGTCCATAATACTACATCCACACTATTCACAACATCTAAAAGCTTTCACAGTTTTGTAAGAATTAACCACATAAAATACAACAACTTTATCCCTAAAATACATGGTATTTCTACTTTTTCAAATCAACTATTCCTAAAAACAAGTTACAAAACACACTGCTCCCCCACTTCCTCAACTCGCCTCCTCTCCCTTGTTGTTTAACCGGAAAAGAGAACAAACAGAACAACCCCAGATTTGCCAACAGCAGGGACAGACACAACAACTAGCCTTCTATTTTCCCTTTTTCCTCCGCTGTGCAGCTCACAACCACGTACAGAACAGCCTCACGAAGGCGCTCGCACGGGGACACCTCGGAGGTCGGTGCGTGAGGACGGGCGCGCGGCTGCGTGGATAACCCCTGAGTCACGCACTTCGCGTTTATTTTGGCGGCTGTGTTTCTGCGGATTTTTTTTGTTGTTGTTGCTGTTCTTTTTAAATTGTTACCACGAAAAAAGACCCGAAACGCACAGCAACCCGACGTAAAGGCAAACGCCCACCACAGACGCACGTACGAAGGCGGCGCGCTCCCCGGCTGCACGCGCCCGCACCGCGCTGCAATGGCGGCCGCGGCGGAAGGGGAGGGCGCGTCGCGGTGACATCACGCAGCAGCACGGCACGGAGCTGCGCTCCGCTGGGCTCGGCTTGCGTGAGCTGCGCGGGTGTCGTTGGGTTTTGCTGAGTCGTAGGTGACGGTGGGAGAGCGGTGGCCGGCTCGGAGGTGTCGCATCATGAAGTTCCAGTACAAGGAAGACCACCCGTTCGAGTACAGGAAAAAAGAAGGGGAGAAAATCAGGAAGAAATACCCCGACAGAGTCCCCGTGAGTGTGACGGACGAGCGCTGCCCTCGGGCTAGCTGTGCAGACATCGCCATTCTTTGCTGTCCTTGTCGCTGCCGCCTGCTGCTTTGCTTCTTTTCTCTGAGAAAAACGGGATTAGGAAAGATGATTACTTTGACGTTTCGATATTAATTCCAGACTGCTTTCTCTTTAATGCGAACGTATTCGTTGTTTTACGCCAAGGTCTATGGGTGGGTGTGGGGGTCTTTTTTCAGGCATCCGCAGTAATTCGACTGCAAGAACGCTGTTAATCTTATTATGGCAGCCTGTGTGCGTGGGACTGGCGGATGGGGAAGGAGCTTGCTCTGGGAAAATGGAGGAGAACAATGAATGAGTAAAACAGGCGTTCTTTGTAAGAAAAAAGACCTAAATCAAATGTTTTCCTTTTATTTTTTACCTTTGGAGCTTGCTCTTCAGTATAGTCGTACTCCGTTCTTTTCCTTTGCGTGAAAGAAAGGAAAAAAAAAAAAAAAAAAAAAAAAAGGATGCTAATTAATAATTCTTAGTCTTACTTCTCTCTTGTTTAATCATCCTGTGGAAAACAAAACAAAACAAAAAACAACAAACATCATTTGGAAAACAAGATCATCTTTTAGCTAAACTTTCCTTCCTTATCCTTAGGTCCCTCTGGAATCCTGGTGGAAAACTCCTGGCTTTATAATTTGTAACAATAATTGCCAAAAGAAATAGTAACACTAGTGTTTATTTTATTTATTTTTTTTTATTTTTATTTTTTTTATTTTTTGTCCCCTTTTAATAAATGGTTTACAGCTTTTCTCTCCAATGCCACTGGGAGAGTTCTGTCCTAGATGCAGTGTGCAAAAGAACTGTTACACCTTAGGTTTTCCCTGTAGGATGGGACCATTTTTTCATCTTGAGAAAGGCCCACAACTGGGTTGATAGAAGTTCTTGAAAGTCAGAATTTGGGTACGTTTTGCCCAGTCATTTTTGGGGCCCCTAGCACGTCAGAGCAGGTTGAGCACATAGTGTATGCAGTTCTGTCTTTTGAGATGAGGACCTCAGAGGGCTCAGCTGGTCAGGAGAGAGGCAAACTGTAAACTGGGGGTCAACATGGCAGATTATGCAGCAGGTCATGATAGAAGTAACTGGAAGAAACATGTGGAGAGCCCAGCAACAGACCTGGTCTGGCAGGAAGTAGAAATATCAAGACAGAGGGGCATTAGCAGAGTGTTATGGACAAAAACAGGATCAAAGTGATGAGGTGTGCTGCAGCTAAGGAAAAGAGAGAACAGTGCCTGGAGAGGCCTGATGTGTATTGTTGGGGGAGGCTTGTTGTCGGAGCTGCATGTGGAACAAATGAGTGCAGCAAATGGTTTTTACATCAGTTCTGTCACTGCCCTTCACAGCAGTATGATCCTTAACAACAGTGTCCCTTTGGCTGCCAACACTTCAGTGTCGTGATACATCTCAGCATGTTGCTGAAATTAGACGATTTCAGCATTCTGCCCCAGTCCATTGTTACCAGAGTCACCTCCCAGCAGTAAGAGATATGAAGGTAATATGTATCTGGCCTTTGGATTGTTTTTGTAGTTTTGACTCTGTGTGCAAAGTAACCTTTAGAAGAGATACCTACCTGGGTTATCCAGGAAACTGACTACAAATATAGTCTAGGAAAACACCTCCATTTTTCCCTGACTCTTTGTAAGAGGGAGATCTGTCTCAAGCTTTATGATTTGATTTGAATCCTTTCTAGGTGTTTAGAATCCCCAAAACTCACCTTGTCCTCATAGCCATGGCATAAATCAAGGTACCCTCTATCTTCTTTTCCTTTATCTAGCAACTAAGCTAAATGCCATCCTTTTGAGTCAGTTTGGTCCTGTCACTGCTGCTACCTAGCAGTTCTGCTTACCAGTCTTCTAAATGGAAAGCAAAAATTAAAGGCTTTTTTCTGCTGCAATTTGTTAAATACTACCTTGTAGCATTTCAGGATAAGAAAACAGGCAAAGTGCTGTTGCTGGTCAGCCTGCATCTGTGTAGTGAGATTGTGCCTTTCCTTCACAATACTTACCAATTGTATCTTGTATGGAAATGCATGTCCTAACACAGACTTAATCTGAAAGAGCTCAGTTGCCTAGTAGTTGAGGTTCTTGAAGTTCTTGCACTAGCAAACTACACATGTGTTTTAGAAAGAAACAGAATTTTCAGGGCTTTTGGCTGTGTTGGAGGCATCTAAATGGAGTGCAGCGCAAAGATGTCCAAGCCAGCATCTCTACTGTGTGATATGCTTTGCAGATACTTGGATCTGGAAGGAGGAGAGTTTGGTTGGCGTGGCACTTTTTCCAAGTTAATACACAAAGCTCATCACATTTTTTTCCTTTGGCATACAGTTTCATGGATGTGTCAACACCATTTTCCTCCTAAAGAAGGAGGAAGCACAAAGCACGACAGTTCAGCCTTTTCTATTGTACTGCTGACACAGCTGCTGCTTTTGGTTGCCAAAGGGCTGGGAGCATGAGTCCTTAGAAATTAGTCTCACAGTGTCTCACATAGGCTGTATACAATCACAGGTTCTAGCAGAATTACAAAGTTGAGAAAGTTCAGAAAATTGAGCTTCTTTTTTTAGAAGGTGGAAAATGGTTTCTGCAGAATGTAGATCAAACCATGTGACATATCTCTCCACTTGATCAAAAATACATACGAGGAAAAAATAACAACTGCCACCAGTGTCTGCATTTTCTTTCCACATGCACGCAGTATTTCCATGGAAACATATCACCAAGCTTTGGAAAGATTTCCAAACCTTTTTATATTCAAGTCACTTGGAATAGTTCCTATTTCAGAGAGAAGCATTTTGCCTAGCTCTGGTAACAAAAAGTTCTATGTAGCAGGAGATCTCTTCGCCTCTCTGACCTCAAAGCTGCTGAGCTTATTCTTTCTTATGTCAATGTATAATGAGGATTAGTATTTGGTGCCAAAGGTCTCTGTAAGTCCAGGTGGTAATGTGTTGTTTATTCATTATGTATTTATACAAATAAAGAAATGTGTGTAACTATATTAAATAGGGGAAATAACATCGAGTTGTTGGATCAGGTCCAGAGGAGGGCCACAAACAATCGGAGGGCTTGAACACTTCCTCTGTGAGGACAGGATTAGAGAAGCTCTCTGGGGCTCTCCAGCCTGGAGAAGAAAAGGCTCTGGGTGGACCTGTATAGTGTTCTACCAGTACCTGAAGGGGCCCTACAGGAAAGCCGAAGAGGGACATTTTAGAAGGGCATGTGGCGACACGATGAGGGGAGCTGGTTTTAAACTGAAGAGGATAGATTTAAACTAGGTATTAGGAGGAAATTCTTTACTGTGAGAGTGGTAAAACACTGGAACAGGTCAGTCTGCCCAGAGAGGTTGTGGGCGCCCCTCCCTGGAGGCGTTTAGGGCCAGGCTGGATGGAGCTTTGAGCAACCTGGTCTAGTATGATGTCCCTGCCTATAGCGGGGGAGTTGGAACTAGATGATCTTAAAGATCCCTTCCAACCCAAGCCATTCTGTGATTCTATGAAATAACCTGAAGGGATATGAATTTCAGAGCAGAAGATAACTACTGAAGAACTGGCAATTTGGAAAAAAAAAAAAAACAAACAACCTTCCTCAGTAAGCTGTAGCTTCTCTTTCAATTCTTTGCTTCATTCTAGATCACTGTGGGTGAATGTGGAAATTAGGATATGGGACTACTGGGAATGGAGCTGATTTTGTGTCAGGCAGGTTGAAATGTAACTTGGAAACAGCTCAATTTACTTGTATTTGTGTAGTAGCCTCCTGGTAGCTCCCTCATACAAAATTAACCTGCCTTAAGACTATCAAGGTGACCTGATTTTTTTTTATTATTATTATTATTATTTTTCCCTTGCCAATTATGGTTTATTTTTATGCTTATTCCACTTTCCACTTTTTATTCGTTGTGCTTACTGCTGTAGTCCTGAGCTCCCAGCACAGAGATTGCCAGTGATTTGCTGTCTTCTTCTTACCTATCTATTCTTTAATGTTGTGTATTTGTTAGGGATGAAAGGAATTTCTAAAGGCCTGGTAGCACCAGCTTTCTCAAAGGGTATTGCCTTCTTCAACTTCTATTTCTTTGGTTCATTTTCTTTAATGATGCCCATAGCTTGTCTCTTTCTACCTCATCAGGTAATTGTGGAAAAAGCACCAAAAGCCAGAGTACCTGATCTAGACAAAAGGAAGTACCTTGTGCCTTCTGACCTCACAGGTAACAAAGTCTGCCTCTGTTCTTGATTTTCATTAAGATGGACTTATTAAGTGACTTTAGTTCATGTGATCATCACCAAAAATGAAAAATCCAGGCAGGACTCAACATTTTATCACTACCCCAGTTTGCCCAGCTGTACTTATTGTATCTATGTATCTTACAGTCTAGATTACAACATGCAGAATTCTTTGAGACTGTAGGTGTCACAGTGACTAAAATAATACGTGTGTGTCAATGTGACTTCCAGCTGTGGTGAAAATGACTGAATTGTGTATCACAGGCAGTGGTGAAATCATCAGTCACTGTTGAGGTAGCTCAGGTATACTTGCTGCAGGAAAGGACACGTTCTTGAAATATTCTCACTGTTGTCCACTACTGTGGTTGGAGTCATGACCATGATTTTTTTTCTGAGTGTTCGTGAACAGTTTTGTGTGATTACATTTGTTTTCATTTGAGAACATAAATAAGTTACAGGAACAGCTTTTTTTTTTTTTTTTCCCTCTCATTGCAGTACGTAACGTATTGCAGAATACTTTCTTATGCAGAATAGCTCAAATAAATAAGGAATTTGTTTTCAGGAACTGCAACCCATTTACAGTGTGAAAATTCTCTTAACATGTTTTTGATGTACAGAGTTTAACGTTTAAGCAAGTTAGAAGTCTTCCACTAATCCCTGCAGAAGAACAATTCATACCATAATAGCTGGGGTATGAATTTAGAGAATGTGGTGGTCTGAAGCAGTACTGATTAACTTGTGAAACTGTCAGCTCAGTGTGGATTGGCTGCTAATATTGTTACAGTTCCTACTTGATTTTCCACACTGTCCATTTTCCCTAGTTTTTACATACAGTATGTGACTTCCATCGCTTCATTCTCGAAAGAAAACAGCCATGCTTAGTTGGAAATTCTCTTTGGGTCTGAGGCATTCTCCTCTGTTTCTCTTCAGTTGGGCAATTCTACTTCTTAATCCGAAAGCGGATCCACCTGAGGCCAGAGGATGCGCTATTCTTCTTTGTCAATAATACCATCCCTCCCACGAGTGCTACCATGGGTCAGCTGTACGAGGTAGGTCTGACCTATCTTTCTCTTCTTGTTCAATACAAAAGAAATTTTCTCTTAGCAGTAAAAGAACACAGTATCACTCTGCAACTAAATGTCTATAAATACATTTTGAAAGAATGCTAAACCTTTGTTCAGGAGTACTTTTTCCTAGCTTGTACTGTATAAGGACATTGTGAACATTGCTTGCTAATATTTATACTAAGCAGTGTTACTTAACTTTGAAGGCATATTCTGTGCCCATCATTCCTCTGTTACATAGGCATTAATTATATCATGGTTGCTTTGCAGCCTGGATTGATTTCTCCTTGATTTCTCCTTGGGCTGTGCTAGTGGTTTTTAATAGAAGAGCTCCAGTTTGGTGCTGCAAGCCTTATTTGACCTAGCACTTTTTGACAATGACTGAATAATTTGTATATGTAGACTAATGAAGATGTAAGATTAACTACTCAAATCTGGCTATGTAGAAATAAGTACATCTGACTATCTGAAGCTGAGATCAAGACTCTCTGGCATTCTGCAGACTTTTTGTATCCATTTAATCATTTAACATCTCAGCTTTACTGCCCCTATATAAAAGTGGACTAGTATCACAGCCATTTAGTAAGGTGTTCTGAAATATGACAAATGTAACAACATTTATCAAATACCAAAGTATGCAGAGATTGTTTTTAATGTTAGAGCACTCCTAAGTCACTCCTCCTGATCTTAAGGTTATGTCAGTGCTGACATTCTGCTGCATAGCCTGCAACAGTCAGAGCTGTTTCTGTTGCATATTTGCAGCACACTATCTTTTCTAGTAAATCCAGTGTATCCAAAAATATGACTTGTCTAAATTTAGAGGTTGAGCTGTGAGTAGAGGGAGTTTCTGTATATATTCTCTTAGGAAAATGTGGAGCTATCAGTGTAAACAGAAAGGTTATGTCTCTTTTTTGCTACAATGGTTTCCTTGTTGGATTTTCTCATACGTAGTGAAGAACTACGGGGCTGTGGTTTGATACTTTTTTCTTTTCTGCCCTTGCAGGATAATCACGAGGAGGACTATTTTCTCTACGTGGCCTACAGTGATGAGAGTGTCTATGGCAAGTGAGCAGCAGTCCCCCAGGCATGCAGGCGAGATGGACTGATGGAACTGATTGGGGAATAGAGGGAGGGTGTTGAAGAGGAGGAAGAAGAATGCTTGAGAAGAGGGGAAGAGGACTGGAAGTTAACCACATGCACAGTGCCATCATCTTCCATGTGTTAATTATAACCATTATTTTTAAGTTGAGGGGAGGGAGGGTGGGGGTATTGTAAATGAAATGAACTGATAGGCTAACAAGAGGTTCTGTGTTGAGGAATGGGAGAATCCACTGTTTGTACTCTTCCCTTATGCAGCTGGAAGTTGCTAGCTGGTACTGGAGGCTGCTAGACAAGCCAGTGTAGTGGAGCTCCTGGAGAGTGAATGAACAGGAGGGAAATGGTTGTTCATGTGTAACCTTTCCATTGGATGCAGAAGGCATGCCTGGAACCTGTACACTGATCTTGTCGCACCTTACCCATGGCACGGGTTGCATACCTATGAGCATTCAGTAAGCTGTGAAATATTTCACCCTGACCATACAAGGCTGTCCTGTGCTGATAGTCCTCACTCTAGCTGCTATATGTGAAGTGTACCAAGTCTACTGTATTTCCTGTTGCTTCCACCATTTTAGAATGCATTTTACTCCCAGCCTCCAACTCTGAGGGCTGGGAGCTACTCAGCTGTGAGATACAGAGATGGAGAGGATGAGGGAAAGAAGGGAGGAATATTTTTTTCCATTGTTCTTCTAATTGCATGTTCTGGACAGAACAATTTGAGACAACTCTTTTGTTCTTTTCAGTGAAGCTAACTGCTGAACAAGGACCTCAGGAGAACAACTAGCCCACTTCAGCATTGAGGCAGGATTGAGTATACCGAACATGTCCATAGCTATTCATCCAATTTATTCCTAAAGACAGTCATGTAGGCAGACTCTGGAGACTGCTTAGATAGTCTGTTCCAGTTTCTAGCTAACCTACAAGTGAGAGTGCTTTTCTTGCTATTTAAGTTTAGTCTCCCTAGCAGTGTATTAATGCAGTTAACTAGGGGTGGTCTTGTAACTAGTGAACACAGAAAATTATCCGCCAGTGTTGTCCTTGCACCAGTCTTCTGCAGATTCGAAGTTGGCAAAAATCTTTTGGGTTTAGCCCTCCCTTCCATGTCTCATCCCTGTACAGATCTTGCACCATCTGCACAAACAGAAGAGATCAGTCCCTCCCATGTGTCTTTTGCTTTTTGTGATTGGACAGCAGTGTCACTCTTTGACATGAGAGGTGCTTTTAGACATGAAGGGGAAGAGGAAAAGATTCTCTGTAGGTTTTTTAATTTTTATTTTTTTGTTGACATTTTTTGCTTTATTTTAAGCCAGTGTTGTGTATGCCCCACCCTTGGAGGTGTTCAAGGCCAGGCTGGGTGAGGCCTTGGACAACCTGTCCTAGTGCTTGATCTAGCAGTTGGCAAGCTTGCCTATGGCAGGGGAATTAGAGCTTGATGATCCTGAGGTCTCTTCTAACCCAGGACATTTTATGATTCCATGGAAGTTACCAGATAGATGCTGTCCTGTGCAAACCTTACGCTGTCATGCCAAAGCAGTTACTTCTTGTTGGCACAAACAGTAGATTTTCCCATAATTGCCATAACTCAGATGAGGGGCTGTGGTTGGCGAGTGAGCTGACTTTCAGGAATGTTTAGAGGTTTTATCTAAAGATGGAATAACTGGACCTGAATTATTGCAAGCATTCCTATATTTAGGGGGTGGATCAAGTGGGAGGAAAAGATGAGAAAGATGAAGGAGACAGGCAGAGTCCAAAATAAGTTGAGGGTATTTACTGTATTTACCTGAAAAAGTTAGAATCCAGTTCTCTGCATTCCTTGGGAATGATAGATCAAGATGAGTGCTTCTGTGGTTGTGGAGACAGGAAATCAGATTGCAGCTTTTTCTGATTTGGTCCACTGAGGTACAGAAGATGGAAAATGAGGCTGGGGGTGTGAAGCAGGAGTCATTAATACAGCTGTGTGAAGGGCAGGGATGCAGTGTATTGCAGGAGACCCACTGCCTGTGTGGTACAGTAAGTAGCAAATGAATGGAAGAAAAGGAAGCAAAGAATCCAGGCAAGGTAGTCATAAAGGGGAAACAGAAAACGGGGGAATAAAGGATGAAGTGGGGGAATAAAGGATGAAGTAGGTGGGTTTCTACAGACATTTTTCATCCTGAATTTCAGGTTTGCTGTTCTATCACGTTCATCTGGAATAAATACATTTGGAGGACTTGTATCTGCTGCAAGTTTACATAACTTCCTCTTTTACTGGACCACTCTCCTTCAGTTAGACTCCTTTAACATCCTTAGGGTGCAAATGCACATCAGTCTACTCTTCTAGGAAGCTCTGAATGTTCTGAAGTAGAGAATAGACTCGGAAGTCTCTTTAGGGTAAAAGAGAAGATAGAGGCAGATTGTATACAGCCCTTTGCCACTGTCCCACTTGCTCACATAGTGTGCCGCTAAGCATGTGATTGTGTGTTGTCTCAAAGTAACTTGTGTTTAGGCACACGTAAGAGAGAAAGAGTTGGTATCTGGGTTGTGTTTTTTTGTGTTCAGACCTCTTTTCCCCTCCTGCTGCTGGGTTTATAAGTAAAAAGAATGGGACGTATCTCAGCTGTTTGCGACGTTTGAATTTACACTTTACATTAGTTACTTTACATTTCTTTTAATTGGATTGTGGCATTTACTTTTGTTTTTGTGCTAGACTAATACTGTACAAAACAATGACGGTAGTTCTTTTTTTGTGTTGATTAGCTTCAGGTTCTTTTAAAAATTCATACTACTTAAGCTAAATCAACCAGTCAATAAAGATGCATTTGAAAATCACAGGATTGGCCCAAAATGTGATTGACTGTAGTATTTATCACCGTGTGTGCTTGTAAATAAAGAGCCTGACTAACCAGGGCTGCTTTGTCAGAACTTCTTGCTGCTATGTTTTTGTAGAACTCTAGACTTCTTCTATCCTGTCTATAAGTCAGACCTCTCCATTTTTTATTTTTTTATTTTTTGTTGTCACTTGTCTGTGTCTTGCCATGCCACTCATGTGAACTTTACTTAGACGTAGACCATGTAAAAAAGTCTTAAGGAATATAGTGGGTGTGCAGAGACGTTCTCTGCCATTTTTAGGATCTGTGCAGAGCTAGCTAGCTGATGGGCTTCGAGGGCACAACCAGACTTAGCTACCATGCCTACCCTCAACCCACCCAGGACTCCAAGTCACCCCCACAGCCACTAACATCTTCAGCTGCAAGGTCGTAGCGGGGCTGGACTCCAGTTTTCCACAGCCCTGCCCAGCCATACTCACCTCCTGAGCTGGGCACATCCATGGCCCAAATTGGCCCTGGCCTATCATCATCCATCAGCTATAAGGAAATCTGGGATTTGCTAAGAGGTAGACCTGCAATGACAGCACATCTAGGTTTGTTTTCATAGAATCCTGGTATCACGGAACAGCCAAAGTTGTTGGGGACCTCTGGGAGTTGTTTGATCCATCCTCAAAGCAGGGACACATAGATCTTTTTGCCCAGGACTGTGACCAGGTGGTGTCTGAATATTCCAAAGAGGGAGACTACACAACCTCTCTGGACATATCCTTATGGATATTTGCGTGCCAAGAGGAAAATAGCCCTGCTGGAAGTGAGTAAGCCAAGCAGGTAATGTTTTCCCTTAGCATAGCCTCTCCAGGTTGGTCACATGTAGCACACGAGGTAATGGTGAGAGAGGCACACAAGCTTCCCCTGTCTTTCCCATCCTCCCCAGCAGCCAGGCCAGGCCAAGTCAGGCTCTGGAGTATGGCTTTCCAGCTATGGTGTCTCCTGTGAGTTTGTGCAGGTGCCACTGGCCAAGACAGTCAATGTGCTTGTTGCGGGTTAACCTCAGCAGGCAGCTAAACACCAAACAAGTTCTCCTACACTTGTCCACCACCACCACCCCTGGTGGGACAGAGGAAGAGTAAAAATGAGTAGAACTTGAGATCAAAGTTGAAATAAAAATTATTAAATAAGAAGTAGAAGAAGAGAGAAAACAAATCACTCACCACTTACTGTGGATGGACATGCCTGGTATGCTCCCAAGCAGAAGATTAACTGCCTGAAAGTCCCTCCTCTTCCTTTTTGTTACTAAGCATGGTGTTATGTGGTATGAAATATCTCTTTGGTTAGTTCATGTTGTCTGCCCTTTATCCCTTTCCAGCCCTCTGAAATCTGTTTACTTGAGGGAGAGAAAGACTTGACACTGCAAACATTCTTTAGCACAAGCTAAAAAGTTGTATTATCAGCATTGTTTTGGTAACAGATCTAAAATGCAGCACCATACAAACTGCTGTGATAAAAATTAGCTCCATCCTAATCAGGATGTGACTTTCACCTCTTACCTTGCAGTTCATTGCTTCTGCATGCTACACCTGCAGAAAATTGCTTTAACCACTGAAGTCAAAGTTTGTAACACTGAAACTCACAGGGATAAAACCTGCTAAGTCTAGTAGTATATTTCTTTCCCCGCCGAGTACAAGGTACAGCCACTGTGTGCTTTTGTTGCAAACACTGAAATCTAACAGAGGCAGTAATTCATCCTGCACTGCGTTAACTCAGAGCATGATCACAGCAGCAGTTTCTGTGTTCATGTTCTCCATCAGGACTGTAGGACAGAATGGTGTGATGACTCCAGGGCTATACAAGGCTAGAAATTTGCTCAAAGCTTATGCAACCAGCTGAAATCATTCAAAATAGATGCTGTTTTCTGCCTTGATTTTTAGCACCAGTCATATTTGTATGCCTTGTACTTGCCATGCTGCTTGCAAGTTTGTGTCAGTGCCATTCCTGAAAGAAATAGTGCATTTGCTAAATGTGATTTGCCTGGTTCATATGTGAATTGTTAGCCTGTGCTCAAAGATGTCCACTTCTATTCTCCTGGGTCATACCAATAAGATGATAAAAATTGGATTGGAGCAAGGCCTGATATAAAGTAAAAACTCAGCTGAGAGAGGTTGAGTAATTAGAATACTGACTTGGTTACTGTCACTGCAGTTGGGATCCTCTCTCCTGATGCTTTCATTTAAGGTAAACCTCCAGGATCAGAGGAGATCAGAGAATATCTAAGAAAAAAGATGGCTTGGAGCATTAGTGCATCATAACATCACCATGAAGAAGATCTGAGCTAACATAACAGATCCCAAATTATATTATTTTCACTCCCATAAAATAGTCATGTGCAAGACAAAGGAAGCACTGATTAAAACAAAAATAAAACTACCAGAAGGAGACTCTTCAAGTCATTCCTAACATTCAATCTCTGATAAATTCATCCCCAGGATGAGTCACAGAGTGTGACTAGTAAGCTCACTGCTGCTGAGGGTGACTGACCATGAAGAGCAGATGCCCCAGCATGTGCTGCCAGTCTTCAGGAGGATGTTGTAAGTCCGCTGGTATTTTTGTTACTAGCAGCCAATATGAAATCCAAAACTGCTTTTGTCTGGGGATAGTACTATTACAGGAATTAGGCAATATTCTCCTGAAAGAGCTGGATATTGCAGCATCTTTTTCATAGAATCATAGAAAGGTTTAGGTTGGAAGGGACCTTAAATATCATCTGGTTGCAAGCCTCCAGTCATAAGTGAGGTTGCCAGTCACTAGATGAGGATATCCAGGGCCACAACCAACCTGGCCTTGAACACCTTCAGGGATGGGGCACCCACAGCTTCTCTGGGCAATTTGCTACAGTGCCTCACCACCCTCTGAGTAAAGTTTAAAGCCATTCCCTGTTGTCCTATCACTTTT